AGAGAGAACGAACCTGGTGGTTCTTGCCTGACTTACGAGAGATTTGTTTTGGGAGCTGTGTAAGATTTGAATACAGACCATCCTGTCCTCTATTGCTATGTGTGCAACACACATAGATTTTCTCGTCTTCCATTGAGCAGGATGGCCAGTTCAATATTATTTGTTATTACAACATTGCTTATGTTTTTGCCAAGCCGGTAATCTGTTGGCATTCCGCTGTCAGCACTCCTGATGTTTTGTACATAAGATCACTTTATCAAGTTGTCAGTGTACAGATTCCTGCAAGCTTCTACTGTGAGGCTTGCAACAAGAAGACAACATGAAAGTATTAAAAGTTTTGAGTAAGACCAAAGAGACTTGTTTAACAATGTACATGCTACTCAACATGTTATTAAGATAATGTTTTTGTACAAATTAAAGTGTCTTAAAATATATCGGCTGATCGTGGCACCATTTCAGATTATTTTGTGCAATACCGTGCGTTTGTACGATTGGTGACTTGAGACTGCCCTCAGACTTGAGGTCTGTTCTGCTGTTTTGGATGGGATGCTTGTGTGAGCTGTGAATGAGTGGGTGGTTGGAGGGAGTCTCAGGCAGATCTGACTTCATTATTATCTTTTTATATTTCTCCTGTCTATCGCCTTGCATTCCTTTGGCTTTGTGTTATTATGATTACTATGTTGATGTCTTTGTCTTAGCTTTTGTGGTGTCCCTAAGACCGTGTTTTTTGAAGATCAGTTATTCAGCTCTTGAAGACCCTGAATGCAAAATGTGTAGCAAGTGCCAAAATGATCAAACTTGAGGAAATTGAATAACTTATTCACGTATTATTCTGAATTGTGCACGTTTTATAGATAGGTCTGTCTTTAAAAATCAGAAGAAAAAATTGAAAGAGTGACTTAAGTCAAAACTATCAAGCATGATTTGTTTCAAAATTGTTAATTTATTTTCATCTAAGCTAGTTTCCAAGTGCTTGAGATGATTTTTGCTCTTGACCCCAACTCAGTTGCTCCCTGTCAACAGCTTCTGGACAAAATTTAGAAAACTGCTCATCCTTGACAGGCCCGTATTGAATTACTATTGCAAGAAAACAAATCTGAGTAACTGATCTTAAAAAATGAGGTCTTTTGGTATGCCCTTGTTGTAAGTAATTCTTTGTGCTTATTTGCTTCTCGCTGATGCCACTTTATAACCAAAGTTAATTTTTAACTGGCTGTAAGATGTACTAGCAAAGTGCCGAAAAATATTAGCTTAAGTATTTATTTAAGATTATTTATTTTTTGACAATAATTGTCTATAGTGTAAATGTCCTAGTGAAGATTGTATTGTTGAATAACTAAAGT